AAAAAAAAAAAAAAAAAAAAAAATCTATTTCTATTAAAAAACAATTACAACTCTAGTATACATCCATGGTAGAGTTGTGTGCTTTTGTCTTTCAAATTTCATCTCTATGCACAGAGGGTTCGGTGATTTTAGAGAATCTCAACTCTCAGTAAGAGAAGAATAATGACCTCCCCCTACTTATACTTAATGTATTGCTATGTGCAAATAGCTAGGTAGTTGTGCACAATGGCCGTGGTGCTGCCCATCGTTAGTGTTAACGCTTGACAGAACTTGGCGTGGAGAGCAAGTTGCAGCTCTGTGCATCTCACCAAAGGGCTGCAGCAAATCACATTTAGTGCTCAGGAGCCAGGTCACCTCAACCACAGAAACCGGCCTCGCATGTAAAAATGCAAGGGGAGCCAAAAGCTGGGGAGTAGGGCCAAGAGTCTTCTAGGCCAGATTTCAAATGTGAAATATGCATCAGATGTTTCCAAACTGATAGTATTTATGTCTGCTTATTTATAGTTCCAAAAACTCTAATTGTTCTTAATGTTTTTCTAAAGATCTCACGTTACACGAGTTCCATGAAACAAAAGATCAGACTAGAAACAATTGCATTCACCGTGATGTTAGTTTGAATTTTTAAATGTGCTTGTCCGTAGCCATAGAGAAGAGACCAGTGTAAAAGGCTAATTAATCAAATTCTGATTTTTGAGGGAAGATTTTGTTCTCAGTCTTGCACAAATGATTCCCTCTGAGTTAAAATGTGTCAGGGGTATTCAGCAGTATTTAAATGAGGGTCTTCCTTTATTTTGAGCACCCCAAATCCCAAATGTCAGAGGGGGCCGACAGATTGATGTCACACTTGTTAGGCAGTGTGGACGCCGGGGTGGATTGGGCTGACCTGTCCTTGCCATGTCTTGTCCAGTAAGCCTGCCCCTGGGGTCTGGCGGCCACTGCAGCCCGGATGGAGCCCCGCAGGTGCTGTCAGAGGCGGAGGAGACTGTGTCGGTTGGCAGCTGTTTCGCGTCGGAGGACACGACCGAGGACTCAGGAGTGATGAGTTCCCCCTCAGACATCGTCTCTCTAGACTCGCAGCAGGACAGCATGAAATCCAAAGACAAGTGGGCCACAGACCAGGAGGACTGCAGTGACCAGGACCTTGCTGGAACCCCGGACCTGGGTCCCCAGAAGAGCCCCTTGTGGGAAAAGAATGGCTCTGAGAACGCACAGCTGAGGTGAGTCATGGGAAGGACGGGTGGGTACGGAAATCACAGCCACATCTGTGTCTCTAAGGAAGGTCTTTTGTCACGGGATCCAGCACGTGCTATCGCAGCCTGCTCTGCACCAGGGGCCCCCACGCTGATTCATGGCGGCTGCTCTCAGTCCTGTC